CTAGAGTCGAAACCATGGCTGCTGGGGCCAGGACTGAGGCTGGAACCATGGCTGCTGGGGCCAGAACAGGGGCCGGAACCATGGCTGCTGCGGCCAGAACTGGGGCTGGAACCATGGCTGCTGGGGCCAGAACTGGGGCCGGAACCATGGCTGCTGGGGCCTGTACTGGAGCCGGAATCATGGCTGCTGGGGCCAGAACTGGGGCTGGAACCATGGCTGCTGGGGCCAGAACTGGGGCCGGAACCATGGCTGCTGGGGCCAGAACTGGGGCTGGAACCATGGCTGCTGGGGCCTGTACTGGAGCCTAAAGCATGGCTTCTGTGGCTAGGGCTGGACCTGCGACTCCTTCTCTTAGGAGCCTTTTGGAGGTCCACGGAGCCTCCAAAAGGCTCCTAAGAGAGTTCCGGCTCTTGGACAGGAGCAGAAACTGGGGCAGAAGCAAGGGTTGACTCCAGACGGAACACACCAAGGCGTATGGTGTCAGGTTGGGAATTGGGAGGCAGGGAGCTATCATGCCTTGGGCTAGCAGGCCGGGAATCACACACCGAGAGGAAGTCCAAAATCCAGCCAGGTAAGAATTTAACTAAACCTGGTTTCTACGTCGCCCTCTGGTGCGCCTCAGCCAGAGCAGCCTCTCGCTGCTGAACTCCGGACGCTCCCCTCCATCGATCAGAGCAGTAAGCCAGAGAAAAGGAAAAATCCAATAATTCCTGCTCAAATGGATCTGCTGGGCCCATCCTTGGTTGGTTCATACTGTTACGGTGAGTGAAGCAAGCAGGACCCAAATGCAGATAATGCTGAAAAAAGCCTTTATTTCAAGGATAAAAATAACTTGGACAAAACAGAACTCTCACCGGTGAACTCATTCACAAACAAAAGACGAACCAACACTGAACACAGGACGAGACCAGACTAAATATAGGGAGGGGTAATCACAAGATGAGAAACAGCCGGGCAGGGGAGGAGAAACACAAGGGCCACAGGTGAACACAATCAGACAATTAGACACACCAGGGAAACTAACGACAGGGGAAAAACACAGGAAGAAGGACCAGACAATATACAAGGAGGAAAATACCCATAACCAGACATACAAAACTACAAACGTGACATAACATGAGAATCCTGACAGTCGCACTGCCACTCCAACATCCAATCACAGGGCTTGATGACTAATCACGGGGTTTGTAAAGCAAGGCGGATGTTGTAGTCCCAAATGATAGCTGGGGATTCTGGGTAGTGTAGTGCCTTCGGAAACTGTAGTGTCTAAAACTATTTGTTTCTCTGAATCAAAGGTTAAAAATACAAAAGCATTGTACACAATTTAAACCAATCAATATTGTGTAATTAACAAGGATAAACTGATGTTTCTTAGTGGATGAGTAATGCAGATATCACTGTGTAATCATTTGACAGTGAGGGGAATATATCCGGTTTCATTATGAAAACTTCGAGACCGGAAAAACTGTTTTCACCCACGCTAACTTTACATGGAAGCTGCATACACGTTATCCTGGCAAGATCTCAAATCATCTTCGTAATATCTATCAAACTATAGATCCTACACATCGACTGGACGTGGATTCTAAGAGTACAATATACACTTCTCGCCAGAAATCGAATCAAAAAGCGTTTTAATGGCCAAACTATTCCACAATTTAGGATTTTCCAGAGAGGGTTATTTGTGAATAAACGTCCCTCCGGAGCGTTTGCAATGAACGGGCCGGGAGCATGTTGTTTCTTACACGACCACTAGAGCACCTCTAGTGGTCGTGTAAGAAACAACATGCACTTTGGGTCGTAATAAGGGCTTGAACAATCGGCCTATATGGTCGTTTTTTGTCGGAGGACAGGCTGCTAAATACACAGAAGGGTAATCGACAAGACACAGCTGGGCAGGGGAGACAGAAACACAAGGGCAACAGGTGAACACAATCAGACACACTAGGGAAACTAACGACAGGAAGGCAAACACAGGAAGTAGGACCGGACAGGAGGAAAACATTTCAAAATAAAAAGGTGGAAAATGAAAACAACAATCCAAAACCATGACACACTGACTGCAGGCTCTTTCATTCTTCCACAAACTATAGAAGGCCAGCTGGAAATGCAAAGCAAAACTTTAGTAATCAGCTCTCTAACAGACATGTGGGGTTTTACAGAAGAGTGGGAAAGGTAGTGTGTTTTTGATGGGATGTTTTTAGTTTCTAATCACTGTTACTTCCTGTGATGCAGCAGAGAGCTGTGGCAGTCAGTCGTAGTGTTTGCAGAGAAGATATGATGGGATGTAAAGCATGAGATCAGGACTTTGAAGCTGACTCAAAGAACAAACACTTATTTTAACCTGGATCTCAAACTGTTGGGTTGTGTTCATCCCTAGTGTGTATTGACTTTGACCGTCTAGTCATTGTTGGTGATTTTAACATCCATGTTGACAACCCCCAGGACAGAGGGGCTAAAGAACTGTTTTGTGTTCTTGATAGCTATGGACTGACTCAGCATGTGACGGAGCCCACGCACAATAAGGGGCACACTCTGGACTTAATTATCTCAAAGGGTCTGAATATCTCTGAGGTTGTGGTGACTGATGTTGCACTCTCTGACCATTCCTGTGTTTTCTTTGAGAGCTCTATCTGTTCACAAAAATGTTCAAAAAGAGGTAACCACAAAGCGATATTTAACTAAAGATACTAGGGAAATGTTTACTCAGAATCTTTCTTCCACACTTGCCCCTGCTAACATCTCAGTAAATGAGCTAGTAGATCATTTTAATTCATATAAAAATGTTATAGATGCCATTGCTCCAACTAAGGTAAAGGAAGTGACTGGGAATAAAATATCTCCATGGAGAAAGGCCATGAGCGTGAAAACAGAAAAAAGAGAATGTCGAAAAGCTGAACGCAGGTGGCGAAAAACAAATCTCCAGGTTCACTTTGAAATCTATAAAGAGAGACTTGGCCTTTATAATTTGGAATTGAAAAACGCACGACAATCGTTCTTCTCTGACATCATTACCAAAAACAAAAACAACGCACGCGCCTTGTTTGCTACCGTCGACAGACTGACTAACCCCCCAGTGTCAGTAGCCTCTGAATTTCTATCCACCAGGGCGTGCAATGATTTTGCCTTTTTCACTGACAACATTCAGAACATCAGACAAGCAGTCAGTGCCTCTGCATCAGGAACAGCGAATGTGTTGTCTCTGTGTCCACCTAACATCAATTCAAACACCATGACACAATTCCATCAGATTAATGATAAAAACCTAGAGGACATTATACAACTTCTGAAATCCTCCTCCTGCTGCCTTGATATTATTCCAACAGGATTTTTCAAAGATGTTTTTTGTTGCATGGCCTCAGATCTACTTCATATAGTAAACAAATCTCTTCACTCAGGTGTTTTTCCACAGGCCCTGAAAACTGCAGTCATTAAACCGCTCTAAAAAAGAATAATCTAGATGCTTCAGTAATGAACAATTACAGGCCCATATCAAACCTGCCATTTCGAGGTAAAATCATTGAAAAAGTTGTTTTTCAACAGTTGAGTAATTTCTTGCATTTAAATAACTGTTTGGATGTGTTCCAGTCAGGCTTTCGTCCAAACCACAGCACTGAGACTGCTCTTGTAAAGGTCTTTAATGACATCCACTTAAACACAGACAGTGGCAGAACTTCAGTGTTAGTATTATTAGATCTCAGTGCTGCGTTTGACACTGTTGACCACAGCATATTACTAGACCGACTGGAAAACTGGGTGGGACTTTCGGAAACAGTTCTGAATTGGTTTGAATCCTACTTAAAGGACAGAAACAACTTTGTTTCTATAGGTAAATACACATCTGAGTTGACAAATATGACATGTGGGGTACCTCAAGGCTCCATCTTGGGGCCTCTTCTCTTTAACATCTACATGCTACCACTGGCTCAGATAATGAAGAACAACAAAATAAGTTACCATAGCTATGCAGATGACACACACATTTACATAACAATTTCACCAGGAGACTATGCTCCAATTCAAACACTGAGTAAGTGCATTGAACAAATCAATGACTGGATGTGTCAGAACTTTCTCCAATTAAACAAAGATAAAACTGAGGTAATGGTCTTTGGAGCCAAGTCAGAACGTATAAAAGTTAGCGCTGAGCTTCAGTCTGCAATGTTCAAAACAACAGATAGAGCCAGAAATCTAGGTGTAGTCATGGACTCTGACCTGAGTTTCAACAGTCACATTAAAACAGTTACTAAATCAGCCTACTATCACCTAAAGAATATATCTAGGGTTAAAAGACTAATGTCACAGCAGGATTTGGAAAAACTTGTCCATGCTTTTATCTTCAGTAGACTCGACTACTGCAATGGTGTCTTCACAGGTCTCACTAAAAAATCTATTAGGAAGCTGCAGCTGATTCAGAACGCCGCTGCTCGAGTCCTCACTAACACTAAGAAAGTGGATCACTCCTGTTCTGAAGTCTTTACACTGGCTTCCTGTGTGTCAAAGAATAGATTTCTAAATACTGCTGCTGGTTTATAAAGCACTGAATGGTTTAGGCCCAAAATACATTTCTGACCTCCTGCTAAATGATGAAGCATCCAGATCTCTCAGGTCTTCAGGGACTGGTCAGCTTTCTGTCCCCAGAGTCAGAACTAAACATGGAGAAGCAGCGTTCAGTTATTATGCTCCAAAGATCTGGAACAAACTCCCAGAAACCTGCAGGTCCGCTGCAACTCTGACTACTTTTAAATCCAGGCTGAAGACTTTTCTTTTTGTCGCTGCTTTTAATTGAACTCTTCATATCTTAAACTGCACTGTAACTTTTATCCATGTATTTTTTCTTTTAATGTTTATTTTATTAGCTTTTCTTTTTAATGACTGATTTTAAATGCCATTTTCTTAATGTCACTAAATGTAAACTATTTTTTGTAAAGCACTTTGAATTGCCTTGTGTTGAAAAGTGCTATATAAATAAACTTGCCTTGCCTTGCCTTGTCTTACAGGATCGGATATTATGACGAGCCGATCAGAGCCAAGATCTGGAAGACCTGTGAGTACTGAAACCATGTCCTCCATTCATCAACTCTTTAATGGAGCATGAGCTCAGAGGAAAACAACACTCTGGTTTCTCTCTCTTCATCATTCTGGCTGTTTCTCTCCATGTTTTATCATCATCATTATTCTCTCTCTCTCTCTCCCTCTCCTCTCAGGTGACAGGAAGTGAAGACACACAGAAAGGTGAGAGGTCGCACCGTGTGAACTGTATTTATTGAGGTGTCACTACAGAATCAAATGTAGTTATTGCTCAGTGTTTTCTGGGATTCAAGACAAATCTGCAGCTCAGGTTTGATTTGTTCACAGTTTATTTATTACGGGGCGAGTTTGAGACGTAGAGGAGCATGGAGGCATTTTGGAAAATATGAAAGAAGGCTGCAGCTGAGACTTCCTGTTGGCTGTCCTCAATATGAAAGGAACAACAACAATCAATTGTACTTACAGCTTTTCTTAAGAACAAAGATGTGTCACCATAACTCTGCAAACGCTTCATCAGATTTAGGATCCAGTTTTTTGCCAATTACATTTCTCACATTGAAGGAATTCTCTTTGGTGTGTTTGTCACAAAGAGAAGAAACCTGAAAATACATTTTAAATGAAGAAATATATGTAATTATATATCAGTTCATCTGCTGTGATCAATGTCTCACGCTCTGCTGTGATTGGCTGGTACTACAGTCACATGTTAACTCGTTAATAATCCTTTGGAAATGGACAGCGAACTCAGAGGTTCCCAGTGATCTGAATATTTAGCTTTGGTCTTTGGATGTTCTGTTATTGTAGTTTGTGTTCGTTGAGCTGGAGTTGAACTTTATTAACTCTGTTTCATAACTCCAGGCTCCAGTGTTCTTCTCACCTGAACACACACCTGGATCTTCATACAGCTGATCCTCTAACACGACCAAACACTACTTTAATAATATCTTTATATAACCATCCTTCTTTCATGTCATGCCATGTTTGCACACGTCTGCACAGCCCTCCAATTTAAAATACAACTCTCTGTAGTTTTACATATATTATCATATTTACATAAGTGTTGTAGCTTTTAAGGTTCTTTGTGTATTTACATTTAAATATGGTGTAAATATTTGTCTAATTCTTTTTTTAATGGTAAATAGTTCCTTAAAAATACTCATTTTTATTATCTTTATATATGTAACCTTCCATTGCAACTTATGTTGTTCATGTTGGCACCACCAGACACTAAATCTACTTCCTTGTGTGTGTAAACGGACCTGGAAATAAAGGTGGTTCTGATGAGGGACTGCATTCAGAAGAACCTCTGCTCTACAGTAAACTAACCTAGGATGGTGTCAGCCTAACATAAACATGACTGCGTTCAGATAACAGGTTCAACCAGCAGGGATTCTGAACCAGAGGCCTTTAAATACTCAGATAGAGTACAAGTACATCAACATGGTACTTTAGTACAGTACATGAGTATATATACTTAGTTCCTTCACACCACTGTCTGTATATACAGTACACAGAGGTGAGAGCAGATCAGAGAGTATTAATCCAGTGAGAACAAATACTCTCCTCTATCAGTTGAAGAAGGTCGTCTACAATCTACTGTTGGTTTTATAACCAAAGTATTTCCCTGTTTCTCTTCCAGGTCCCAGAGGGTTACCCGTTGACCCGTGTCCATCTCAAAATGGTCCGCAGGCATCCCATAATCCTGCGTTTGGATGGAGACGTTCTCCGTGTAGTCAGAGCACTGGGTTCTCTTGGAGATGCTCTCAAAGTCTTTGAGGACAAAGTCAGAAAAAGCCAAGAAGAAGAAATGTGTTGAGCTCTTCTTTGTGTTCATCACCCCGGGTTCATTAATGTCCAATCAAATGTTCCCGTTGATTTGTAACTCTTCTAAAGGAGCTCTGCCTGGTGTCATTGAAACTGTGCTAAAGCTGTGTGTGCCTGTAGTCTTTATGAAATGTGATCAGATGTTGTTGAAACCTTTAAGATGTGTTCTCTTCAGAACTGCTACAGGATGTGGATTTTGTAAATTGTGTAATCTTTAAAATTAGTTTGATACATGCTTCTTAGTTAACATGAAGCTGTCTTTGGCTGTTTTCTGCTGTAACAAATGTAAACGTCCCCTCTGGGACGAATAAAGGTTTTATGATTCTGTGAAGTCTTTCAAATGAAATGCATGAGCAGCTGTGCAGAGTGGATTTACTTTATTGACGGGTGTCCATGTATAGAAATACCTAATTTTGAGTTATTTAGACACAATTAACACCTATAGTTTCATGTCTTGTTACATCATCATATCATATTTGTTAAGTGTTATTATGGGAGAATTACTTTTCTTGTGGTACTCCTGCCTTATTAGGCCCATATTGACCACAGCATATTAAGACCAAAACTCATGTACAACAACTTCCTTACTTGCAATAAATAAGCACTAGGTCAGGGGTACTCAAATACAAATCTTAAAGGTCCAAAATAAATGTTTCAATAAGACAAAGGTCCGTTTATTACGGTCATTCAAACTTTTAAACAATTGCAACAAGATTCTTAACACGAGGTTGCAAAACAAAAATAATCTGTATGCAGCAGTTTTCATTGTTATTGTGTCTGTGCTTGACGCCTCAGAGTCGCAGTGTAAGAGCTGCACAGTTAGGAATAAAGGCAGCTGCACCCTCTTTCATTCAGCATTCCCATTATTGCTTTATAAATGTCTTCCCCCTTGTGTGTCCACTGAGGTTCGTCAGGCCCAACACATCTTCAACAAACTCCCCCTTTGCCTCATCATAAAAACTCACAAACACCAGCAACTGAGCATTGTCAGTGGTGTCAGTGGACTCACCCACAGCTAAGGAAATGCACTGTGCATTTTTTATTCCATCACAAAGCTGATGAATCAAATCACCAGCCAGTATTTATGTTCTTCTGGTTGCTGTGCAATCTGAGAGGGGATTTGCTTGATTTGACCTGTTATTTCCTCTTTTTGTTTGCCTTCAACATGGTCTCCATCACTTCAGTCATGCATTCTTTTATACTGCAGTTATTATCCAGTGGAAAGTCCTTACCTACTGGCCTAGTTAAATGGTGGTGGTGGTTACTTTTTTTTGGCTGGGCAGTGTAGTTTTAAACACCGTCTTATTTGACTTTCTCAGGACTTAAAACAGTTTTTTGGGGGCAGACCGCCTCAAAGAAAACAATATATTTACACACGTAAGGTCATCATCTTAATAGTTTTGTATGCTCATCCGTGAGCAGAGCATCAAGTTGACATGTCTATTACAGCTGAATGCGGCGATTACCATCTTGTTCAGCAAAACGCCTCACAAACGTATTAAGATCAACAGCTTCAGTGCGTTTTGATTCAATGCTGAGTACAGCCAAACTGACAGTCTCTTCTCTGTCATTGTAGACCGCAAATACCTCATTCCTTCAGCGCTTGGGTCCGAATGCTTCTCGTTTTGCGCCGTCCAGTTAAAAATGAAATCGCCGCCAAATCGTATGTCCAAGATCGCGCCAGGACCGGGGGAGGGGTTACATGACGTGCATCTTGTGCTGCATTCACTTGCACTCGGACATTAGAGACTTTCTCTCATAAATGTCCGATGAGCCACAACTTTTCTTTCAAAACAAAGCTGCCAACTGGGGTGGCAGCTGGGGTGGCAAGGCCTATTTTTAGGGTGTCAGTTGCCACCCCGGTAGGTGAAACTAGGCTACTAGCTACAGTACAGATGGAACTAGATGAGCTGTTAACTCTCGCTCTGAATTTTTTTTAATTTAATTCTCGCTCTGAGTTAGACAGGTTGAAAGAGACACACACATTTTTCCCACCCGCAGTCCGCGAAGACCCGCCCTACTGTGCCTCTGATTCGCAGATTGTTTGGGGGGAAAAAACGCTGACTGGATGCTGAATGTGATTGGACCCAAAGCGTTGACACACACAGGTGGAACACAGTGGAACAGTCAGACATGCAGAGCGCTGTTTGCAGTGGACATAGCGGAGAATTTTTGACTCGTTGCGAATGCGTTGTGGCGATGTCTCACATATAATACAGAGAGATCATACATATGAAAAGTATAATTTGCTCAGAGTCCGGAGACAGTGGTGGTTCGGTCCGGATCCGGACCGGAGTCCGTAGTTTGAGGATGCCTGCACTAGGTGATGTTAGCTGTTAGCTTCATTAATTATCCAAGCAGAACCGTGCTATGCTAACAGCTAACATGAACTAGCTCTCCTGAAAATGTAGCCTGGATTTTTTATGTACAGTTCAGCGTTTACAGGGATTATGTGGGATATGTTCACTGCATTAACAATCCCTTTTACTAGTGTTGCGTTTCTATCTCTGAAGAACCAGCACCTTACAGTGGTCGAGAGGTTTGTGTGCCCTGATGAACCTGGGGGCTGTGTTGACTGGTAGGGTCTCCCATGGCAAATTGGTCTCAGAAAAGGGGCCAGACTAAGATTGGTTCAAAGACCTCATGAAAGACGACACAAGAAGTGAGGATACCTGGCCCGGGGCCCGGGGAACCCTTCTGGAGCCAGGCCCAGAAGGAGGACTCGTCGGCGAGCGTGGAAACAGCGATGGGGTCGGGTGCGCTGCCAGAAGGGTGGCAGTGAAAGCAGAGGGTCTCGACGGACCAGACCCAGGCGACAGAAGCTGGCTTTGGGGACGTGGAACATCACCTCTCTGGGGGGGAAGGAGTTTGTGCGGGAGGTGGAGCATTACCAGTTGGATCTGGTTGGGCTCACCGCTACGCACAGCGTCGGCTCTGGAACCATACTTCTGGATAGGGGTTGGACTCTATTCTTCTCCGGAGTTTCCATGGTGTGAGGCGCCGGGCGGGTGTGGGGATACTCACAAGCCCCCGGTTGGGTGCCTCTTTGTTGGAGTTTACCCCAGTGGACGAGAGGGTCGTCTCCCTACGCCTGCGGATTATGCACCAAACAGCAGTTCAGAGTATACGGCCTTCTTGGAGACCCTGGAAAGAGTCCTGTATGGGGCTCCTGAAGGGGACTCTTTAATCTTGCTGGGAGACTTCAACGCACATGTGGGCAATGATCGAGACACTTGGAGGGGCGTGATTGGGAGGAACGGCTCCCCTGATCTGAACCGGAGTGGTGGTTTGTTACTGGACTTCTGTGCTAGTCATGGATTGGCCATAACAAACACCATGTTCGAACATAAGGATGCTCATAAGTGTATGTGGTACCAGAGCACCCTGGGCAGAAGGTCCATCATCGATTTTGTTAACGTATCATCGGACTTGAGGCCGTATGTTTTGGACACTCGGGTAAAGAGAGGGGTGGAGTTGTTAACTGATCACCATCGAGCGGTACTGCAGTCGCTTTACCGCACCGTTGTGACGAAAAGGGAGCTGAGCCAGAAGGCAAAGCTCTCTGTCTACCGTTCCATTTCCGTTCCTACCCTCAACTATGGTTATGAAGGATGGGTCATGACCGAAACAACGAGATCGCGGATACAAGCGGCCGAGATGGGTTTTCTCCGCAGGGTGGCTGGTGTCTCCCTTAGGGATAAGGTGAGAAGTCCAGTCATCCGGGAGGGACTCGGAGTTGAGCCGCTCCTCCTTCGCGTCGAAAGGAGCCAGTTGAGGTGGTTCGGGCACCTAGTTAGGATGCCACCTGGGCGCCTCCCTAGGGAGGTGTTCCAGGCACGTCCAGCTGGGAAGAGACCAAGGGGTAGACCTAGGACCAGGTGGAGGAATTATATCTCTTCGCTGGCCTGGGAGCGCCTTGGGACCCCCCAGTCAGAGCTGGTTGATGAGGGGAAAGGAACGTTTGGGGCTCTCTGCTGGAACTGCTACCCCCAAGACCCGACCACGGATAAGCGGGAGAAGATGGATGGATGGATGCGTTTCTATCATTTGAGGTAGGAGTAGCTGAAAATAATACAAGAAGCTTCTCATCAAATTAACAGCATTTATTAACAAGATGATACGATAATTTAGTTTGTTTATTTGGGATTGACAGCATGATTAAAGCAAGGCTCTGTTTATGATCACATTATGTCTTGTGAATGAAAGAAGTGAGTGGTCAATCAATCAGAGGTTGATTCATCATTTCATATCTTCCTTTAAGATCAGATAAAACTGTTTTGTGACCAGAAGGGGATTTTTGTGTCCCAGCATAACAGATAAATGTCACATTGGCTTTCAGAACATATTATATGGCCAGACAAATTCCCCCAATAAAACACATAACAGTAGATATATTGATTATTCTCACTCTAGCTTATGTGGTATTTTGTGATGCATGGACTTTAAATGGGCAACATAAACAGAGACAGATGGGATGCAACGTGTCTGGATTAAATAGAGAGAAAGACAAACGCTGATCCAACTACTTGTCAAGATCTAGAAATTATTTCACATTAATTTCAACATCTGTGTAGTAATCCAGACTCACCAGCTCACACACTAAAGGGGGAACTATTGATGAAGAAGGTTCAATAATCTCCATTTCTTGTATTTCTAAAATGTATAAATACAAACTACATACAAGTTGTGAAAATTGCAGTAAATGTCTTCTCTGTCATTTTGCAAAGTAACCTTGTGGAAGTATGTTTGACACCTCTGGTCTAAAGTGAACATAAACAGGTAGAGACAGATGGGATGCAACGTGTCCGGAGTAAATAGAGAGGAAGACAAACGATGAGGCTTTGTGGTGAGCGGGAACAAAACAGAGTGGCAGGTCGGAGGTTTATCTCAGCCCCTCAGGAAATGACTTCTCTGTTTGGCTGACTGAGAGCCAGCGAGCCGGAGGGAAACCATCCCGCTGCTCCTCTGGAGACACAGCAGCAACAGAGAGGGATTTACTCAGCAGCTGAAACACAAACACACACTCTCAGGACTGTGGATTTCACAATTAAAAGATCTTTTATATCATATCTCGTAGAGAATGACCCCTGATTGGTGGATTCTGGAGTCCTTCAGCGAGGTGCAAGCTGCCAAAGCTTAAAAAACTCACACTGTGCCAGGCTGTGAAGGCATCCTCAACGAGGCGTTCAGGAACCTTAAACCGTGCCTGTTTTCAAGCTTCCATACTTACTTTAAACCCATTTACATCCATGTGCTGCACGGTTTGTTCCGTTTACATATTCCTACATGCTTTACAATAAAGGACAACCTTCGTCTATTTAACTCAGTCTTCATTCAAACAGGAGTTAAGGACTGACAGACATCACAAAGACACTTTTAAGCATCAATTCTTCACTGACATACTTTCTCTCTTTTCCCTTTCCTGGGGCCAGACCTCCGATCACCCCCAATTCCTTTGGTTGAAATCAGTATATTTAAACACATCATGAGTATAATATAATTCACTGTCGCAAAACCCTTGGCTGATACTACAGCTCAGTGAGGTAAAGGACTCTGAGTGTTTAGATAGTTCACTTTAGTCTAAGTTCAAACGGTTTGGTCACAATTTATGTCAACACATATTTCCAAGGCACTCCTTTATAATTATTGGGATAAACAGGTTTGAAATCATTCCAATGTATACTATAGGACAGTAACCAAAAATATCCTTTAAAACTGGAGATAAAAAAAAAATGCATAAATAAATAAATGTTAAGGTAAAATAAGATATGAATGAACAACACAAATAAAATAAGTTACATTCATTTGTTATTGGCTATGGTAGGTTATTGGTTATGTTCACATACTTATTTGATTACATCCACTTTTCTAAGATGACAACAGAGACTTTCGACCCAAACCCAGCTGTTGACTTGTGGATGCAAGCAGCTAATCACAGACTCAACCAGAGAGGAAGAAGTAGGCCTACATCATCAGCTACCATGTCTGACAGAGAGGAAGACAGTGAGGAGAACAGTCAGGAGGGGAGTGATGACAGCTTGTAGGATTACTGGTCGTGCTAATGTTGTCTTGTGTTCACCTCTGCATGTGTGTTCTGTGTTCACCTCTGCATGTGTGTTCTGTGTTCACCTCTGCATGTGTGTTCTGTGTTCACCTCTGCATGTGTGTTCTGTGTTCACCTCTGCATGTGTGTTCAGTGTTCACCTCTGCATGTGTGTTCTGTGTTCACCTCTGCATGTGTGTTCTGTGTTCACCTCTGCATGTGTGTTCTGTGTTCACCTCTGCATGTGTGTTCTGTGTTCACCTCTGCATGTGTGTTCTGTGTTCACCTCTGCATGTGTGTTCTGTGTTCACCTCTGTATGTGTGTGTTCTGTGTTCACCTCTGCATGTGTGTGTTCTGTGTTCACCTCTGCATGTGTGTTCTGTGTTCACCTCTGCATGTTCTGTGTTCGCCTCTGCATGTGTGTTCAGTGTTCACCTCTGCATGTGTGTTCTGTGTTCACCTCTGTGTGTGTGTTCTGTGTTCACCTCTGCATGTTCTGTGTTCACCTCTGCATGTGTGTTCTGTGTTCACCTCTGCATGTTCTGTGTTCACCTCTGCATGTGTGTTCTGTGTTCACCTCTGCATGTGTGTTCAGTGTTCACCTCTGCATGTGTGTTCTGTGTTCACCTCTGCATGTGTGTTCTGTGTTCACCTCTGTGTGTGTGTTCTGTGTTCACCTCTGCATGTGTGTTCTGTGTTCTCCTCTGCATGTTCTGTGTTCGCCTCTGCATGTGTGTTCTGTGTTCACCTCTGCATGTGTGTTCTGTGTTCACCTCTGCATGTTCTGTGTTCACCTCTGCATGTGTGTTCTGTGTTCACCTCTGCATGTGTGTTCTGTGTTCACCTCTGCATGTGTGTTCTGTGTTCACCTCTGCATGTGTGTTCTGTGTTCACCTCTGCATGTGTGTTCAGTGTTCACCTCTGCATGTGTGTTCTGTGTTCACCTCTGCATGTGTGTTCTGTGTTCACCTCTGCATGTGTGTTCTGTGTTCACCTCTGCATGTGTGTTCTGTGTTCACCTCTGCATGTGTGTTCTGTGTTCACCTCTGCATGTGTGTTCTGTGTTCACCTCTGCATGTGTGTTCTGTGTTCACCTCTGCATGTGTGTTCTGTGTTCACCTCTGCATGTGTGTTCTGTGTTCACCTCTGCGTGTGTGTTCTGTGTTCACCTCTGTGTGTGTTCTGTGTTCACCTCTGCATGTGTGTTCTGTGTTCACCTCTGCATGTGTGTTCTGTGTTCACCTCTGCATGTGTGTTCTGTGTTCACCTCTGCATGTGTGTTCAGTGTTCACCTCTGCATGTGTGTTCTGTGTTCACCTCTGCATGTGTGTTCTGTGTTCACCTCTGCATGTGTGTTCTGTGTTCACCTCTGCATGTGCGTTCAGTGCTGTGTGTCTGGAAAATAAAGTCAAGACCCCCTCAAAAGTTACAGTTTATTTCATTTTAAGGATGAGCACCAAGCAACATCTCCAGGTGCTCCTTTGAGAACCAGGGCAAAAAAGTTATGTGCACCCCTGCTAATAGGCTATAGCCCATGTGAAACAATGTAGCCTGTTTTTGAGTCATTTTAAGTTGATTTAATTAAACAGTCAAACGTTACATTGGTGGTCCGTGGATTATTTATTATCAAGTTGATTGAAGTTTGCGTAGCCCATACATGCTCGGGAAATCTGTTGACATGAACATGATCCATCGGGACGTTTCATGTAAATGTAGACCTGTGGCACCACCCCGTGTGCAACAGATTTTCTCTTTATAATAGGCCTATATCTGTGCTGTTGCTATTAATGCACGGATCAGCATTTCTATTTCTATCAACACGTAATGTTGTATCGATGTATCGGGACTTCCTGCAACAACACCACAACGTTATCGTGATTCTGATTAACATTATCAAAGATGTTCTATTGAGAAGACGATCACTATGTGACAAAAGTTTTCAAAACCGTTTCTAGTCTTCGGTATTTCCAGACAAGAGGCTGAAATCAATCTGACTAACTGCTGTCTGTGCAATTTACTCCGCGCGAGTTGGTGGACTTTATTTTGCTTACTTTAACATCATTTTTCATGGTGGGGCTAAGCCATTTCTTGGTATGGCTGTAGCCCATACCCTGGCGCCGCCAATGGCTGGCATGCATTCACCAATGGGTAATGTTTAGATGGATTTGAGGAACTTCCCCTCAATTCTTTTGGCTCTAACGGTTGAAACGAGGTGTCAATCATCAAAATCTACGATGGGTTCCAGAGATAGGGCAAATCCACCCAAATGACCCCAGAAGTGTTTTGTTTTTGCTAAATCTCTCTAAAAAGGTCAAATTTCACTTGTTTTGCATCAATCTGGATACAGGGTACTTCTTATATGTTGTACTTTGGATTCATAAAGCTTTTAGTCTACTATCCCATCACTCAAGGTGGTTTTCACTATAAGTGATGGGTTATTTTTGGACGCTCGGACACAATCATTTACATTTTTTTACTATCTTCATTTACTTTGACATGGTTGCTAATAGATCCCCCTTAAACTGCACACTGGCCCTTTAAGCCTCCATCTGAACTGGACCTTAACAGGAAGCAATCGATAGCACGGCCTCGAAAATGTAGAAACTTTTTCAGTGTGACTCAGCATCTTCTTTCTTTGGCTCTTCTGTATTTATTCATCAACGAGGTGCTCCAGTTTAACAGTGTGTGTCTCACGCTGTGTGTTGGTCAGCACTGAGCGGATCTGTCTGTTGATGAAGCTCAGCGTGATGTGCAGCAGCTGCTCGGAAACCCACTGCGCCACACACTCCTGTTTCCGTTCATTACAGTCGGTCTGCAACCAAGAGATAAAGCATTGGAGAAACATTAAACCCAAAGTCTCTTTCCGGTGCAAAACAAACCCATTATTGAGTAAAATGTGTTTAAATTAAAGGTGATTATGTAGATTTAATCTGTAAAATTATTCTGCAGAACTTTTAGTGCTTTCTATGTTTTGACAGTGTTTTTTTAGGTTTTTTACCAAAAAATACAATCCATAAAACCGACATTTAAATACCTTTCTTCATTCTTAGATTCATGAAATCAATGCTTTTTAAGGACGTTTTAAGATCCACAGAAATCCTGGGCTATTAATGCCACTAAAAAGCAATTTGGAAATAAAATAATAATACAATTATTTGTACTGAAAAAGGTCAAATGGCACTGATGGTATCCAAATGTGCCAAAATGTGCCCAAAGGTCAGTCCGCCTGGACTAATTTTAGCTAAACCTCTCTAAAAAGGTCAAATTGTCCTTGTTTTGACTCAATCTTGATACAGGGTACTTATTATATGTTATACTTTGGATTCCTAAAGCTTTTAGTCTACCTTATCCAAGGGTGGGTTTCACTATAAGTAATGTTTTTTTTAATTTACCTTTTTATACTATGTTCCATCTGAATTTACTCTGACACAGAAACATCTATATTGATTCTGACACTTCTACATCCAACTCACAGATGTAACCTTAATTTGATAAAATAAATTATTCATGTAACCCTTTTAGAAGTTAAGTTATAGTCATTTGTTTTGGGCATAGCATTTTCGAGCCTGAAACCTGAAAAACAGGCTCAGGGCTTAACAGGTTAACTATGATATGTTTGCATTATTACATTCAAATATAGTACCAGTACCGCAAGTGTGAATGGATTGAAAGATTGAATGGACTTCACTTTCAAGATGCACAAAACTGGACAATAAATGGATTGTATTATTCCGCATCTGATAAAAACCTACTGATTCATCATTATTCAAAACAGTAAAGCGACGCGTCAACCATCTCCTCCCCGGGAGTTAAGCCACCTTGAAGCATTGGGCAAAAGCTCAAACAGTGCATCTGACACCACATTGTCCCTGTGCCAGCAGGACTCAACGCATCAACTGCTGGCTGTGGTTAAACATCTGGGAAAGGGAGATAAGTGGATGGTGGTCGGTGTAAACCACCAGCAGCAGCAGCGTTGAACTGGAGCCAACATACAGCTCAACGTTTTGCAGGGATAGGAGTCAGGGTCTCCGTCTCCATGGTGCAGTCGTTCAGCTGGTGGCGCTTAAACTGTATCGACTGTGTCTTTGTTGCATGTTCACACAACCATACACACACACTGAGAACTGACCCCCGTGTTTGTTTAGGTTCGTTAAGTCCTTTGGTTTTGTTATTTTGTAAATAAAGGGGATCGTTCGGGCTTATTCACTGTTGTCTCATGACATTCTACACCTTCCCTTTAAACCGCATGTTCAATCAATCAGTCAACGTTTATTTATGAAGCCCAATATCACATATTTTACATTTGTTCGAGTGGACTTTAAAGTTTGAATAGAATATGACTCCCTCTGTCCTACATTACTACAACTGAGACCCCTCAGTTAATGAGAGAAAAGGAACCATGACAAAGCGTCCACGACTCGTAATCCAGTGATTTCCTGATATAGAATATATATTTGATTTGATTAAATTATATTGGATGGATCTGGTGTTTTCTACATTTGCCTTGAAACTGAGAGTTACTTTTAGTTCATGTTTAAAAGTTTCCATTTTTCTCCCGGAGTGAAACTTTTCTATCTGTGAATAAAAAGCTGAATCTCCATTGATGCATAACATTAAATCATTTTCTGGGATGAAATGAAGAATCACAAAGTAATGAAGAACTTTCTCCAAAGCATTAAACCAGTTCATCTTAATCACAGCATGGGAGTTATTGCTTGTCTGTAAAAACCTCTGTTATTGGATTATTGTCTAATCTCACGTGTCCAAACATATTTGATCAAAGGCGACATATTTTATTCACGCAAAGCAGCTTTGATATTTTAGAGCTCAGGAACATGAAATACTATAGATTTGGAACCCGTTGCGTATATCTCCGGGTGCAAAAAAAACCTCTCTCATCCCTTGACTAACGGTTCACAGAAGTCACGGTTCGGTTCATACCTCGGTTTGGGGGTCACGGTTCGGTACAACAAGGAAGAGCAAAGAAAAGTCCCAAATGCATAATGTTTTTTTGCTGTTATGTATTTTTAACAGTAGTGCAAGTTTTAGTATGAAAATAAGGAACTCTAACATTTGGAATCATTAACTGTATTACACAGTTAAAAACAAAACAAACCACACACCACACACACACACACACACACACACACACACACACACACACACACACACACACACACACACACACACACACACACACACACACACACACACACACACACACACACACACACACACACACACACACACACACACACACACACACACACACACACACACACACACACACACACTTTATAATGGCTGATGTCAAACTAAAAGGTTCAATAAGCTGAACAACTAAAAATAATTTCTTGAAAATATTAAAATAAATAATAAGAAAGTGTTTCAATCACAATCAATAAAAGGCAATACAGAACTGTATAACATCTAATGTCAAAATATAAAATAAATACAATGATAAATATAAAACTAAATAAAAATCTGTACCTTTAGGAGCACTGTCTAACATGTGTAATTAACTTGTGAGTGTGTGAGGCCATTATGCCTAAATACAAGTACTCAAGCTTTACTCTATTTTCATGTTGTTCTTCAGAAAGATGAGTTAGTCTACGTTGTCAGCAGTGAGGGCAGATCTGTTGGCGGTAACTATGTCACCTGCCGTCGAGGAAACCCTCTCGCTGGGGGCTGAGACTGACTCGGATGTGATTGAGCATGTTTGACGTGTTACCATTAGCATACCGCACCACTGTCGAACAACGCCGACACACCGTCCTCGTCCGATCCACAACTCGCACCCCATCATTGTTGTAGTCCACAGGGAACCCGAAATGTTCCCACACACCTGATTCAAAAGAAGCAGGTGGGTTCTAGCTCCTGTGTGTTGTTTGAACTCGCCATAGCTACTAACTGTTCTTCTTGTGTTTTGTTCTTGTTCTTCATTTGTTATTTACGGGCGGCTGGCTTTTAGGCGCAATACCGCCCCCTGGATTATATATAGTGTAATACTGCCCTGAGTGACAGACTTTTTTCCCACTCGTGTGACTTCATGTGCCGAACCGTGACGTCCGAACCGTGACGGTACAGGACGAATACGGATACCGTTACACCCCTAAAAGATATACAATTTTAATGTGTTATTTAATGCGTAGAAATCTGCAAGGCTTCCAAACATTTGAGCATAAACTGAATTCATTAAAGTGGTTTCATCAGGTGAGAGAACTCGGGGTTTGAAGCGTGGTTAAAAGAAGCGTGGAGGTTCAGATGTGGATCAATGTCTTATTAAAGCTCTTTGATAGCATCGGTTGGAGTTGTTCATGTTTTAATATTGACCACAGGATCGACCCGCAGAGTGCAGATGAGTTAGAGAGGAATTGATCTGCTCTCTGCAGCAATTAAAAAAGCCTGCATTGATTCAGCGCCATCTGCAGTGTTGCTCGGGAACAGAGAGCGACATGAGACCGATAACAAGTATTCATAACGTCTCCCCACAAGATCAAAAGACTCTTACTTCCACTATCTCTGCTCTCAGTCTCGCTCAGTATCAACGTGTCTCTTCTTCCTCTCTGAGCCCGGCAGCGTCTCCCGGATGCTAAATGTCCACAGGATAATGACTCTGAGTCCAGTCGATGATGAGGAGGGATCTATACAGTGTCTTTGTTCCCTCAGGGGGTTCAAGTCTCACTGGGGAGGCTCAGTTCACCCCGGAGTCTAAAAACCTCATGGATCTTCATTATTCTGCAGAGGTTTAGAGATATCAATACTTTCTCAAAGCGACCGTCCACAAACTCATATTTCTTAAGAAGGGGCATAAGAGTTCCTTCTCCCTGCTCCTTTCCACCATGCGCTATAGAAGAAAACAACCAGTATAAGTACACGTTTCGTTTTAAAAGAACTGCCATATTATTTATTCTACATAAACAAATAAATAAATGAATGAATAAATAGCAGCAATATACCCAGCAATCATGACCTGATTACCTAAAGGAATCCACAGGAACCGTTTTCTTTATATCTTTTATAGATTGAAATAATCTAAATCAGAGTTAGAAGAATACGTTTGTTCAGAAAAATGATTGGAGAAAAAGTACAGAGTTGGGAAAAGTACTCAGATCTGGTACTTGAGTAAAAGTAGAAGTACTCAGATCTTGTACTTGAGTAAAAGTAAAAGTACTCAGATCTTGTACTTGAGTAAAAGTAGAAGTACTCAGATCTTGTACTTGAGTAAAAGTAGAAGTATTCAGATCTTGTACTTGAGTAAAAGTAGAAGTACTCAGATCTTGTACTTGAGTAAAAGTAGAAGTATTCAGATCTTGTACTTGAGTAAAAGTAGAAGTACTCAGATCTTGTTCTTGAGTAAAAGTAGAAGTACTCAGATCTTGTACTTGAGTAAAAGTAGAAGTACTCAGATCTTGTACTTGAGTAAAAGTAGAAGTACTCAGATCTTGTATTTGAGTAAAAGTAGAAGTACTCAGATCTTGTACTTGAGTAAAAGTAGAAGTACTCAGATCTTGTACTTGAGTAAAAGTAGAAGTACCAGAGTGTAGGAATACTCTGTTACAGTAAAAGTCCTGCATTCAAAATGTTCCTCAAGTGAAAGTAGAAAAGTATTCTCATCAAAATATAGTGAAAGTAGTCTGATTTAACACTTGATTATATTTCACATCATTCATCCAGACCTGTGAAGTAACTAAAGGTGTTGAATACATGTAGTGGAGTAAAAGTACACTGTAGCAAAGTATGGAAATACTCAAGTAAAGTACAGGAACCTCAAAACGTAAGCACTTGAGTAAATGTACTTAGTTACTCCCCTGCTGTCCCTCACAGCTTCTCTCCCTGTGTGCTTGATGGTCTGTAATCACGGTGTAATCATTAGTCAGACGGCTTCCTGCTGATCAGTGATGTACAGAAAGTACCAGAAGATACAATGACTGTCTCTTTGTTCTTCACTCGTCTCAACCTGCTGCATCAAGTTCACCCGACAGATAACAGAAACACATTCTGCCTCTTTCACACAAAAATAATGACACTTATCGTGCAGCGTGAGAAGTCAAGGTCAACAGCTTCATGATCCAGAGAGAGAGAGAGAGGCTGCTGGGGTTTCATCATCCAGGGATAAAGACATGTGTTTGAGGGAAATGTCAGAAGATATTCAGTGGCTGTGGAGGAGAGAGGGATGGAGCTGATTGTAATAGTGATTTTCCCAGTTGATATAAACTAAATGAGAAGTGTCTCCTTCAGTTCCTTTAGACGTCAGAAGGCAGCAGTGCAAATATGTTTAAATGCACCATAGTCTCAGGTAGAGTTACTCTGAGAGATATTTTGAGTTGTGAACGTATGCAAAGCTATTCCTCCTCTCTCTGTGTGTCGCCTCCTCTCTCTGTGTGTCGCCTCCTCTCTCTGTGTGTCGCCTCCTCTCTTCTGGCCTTCAGCTCTCTGATGCAGAGACATGTTTCATGTTTTCTCCTCTCTTTGCTTTTTAGGTCCTTTTGGCACCGAGCGGCTTCAACCAGTCCTCCACACACCCAGTGGCGACTGGTCATTAGGGGCAGGTGGGGCACAGCCCCACCTAGTGTCAGCAGAAAGTATTAAAAATAATGATTTCAACAAAATGCAACAAAAAAAATATATATATAAAATATATTTTAAGATCATGTTTAATCATCTGATTAGTGTGAATGCTGTTTACAGCAGCTTACTTTCAGCTGCAGAAACCATTCAAATATTAAACTATTCAGCCTTTTCAGCTATTGATGGGAAACTTTCAACTTTTTCAAAATATTTCATGCTTTTCAAAATATTCAGCTTTTAAACTCTTTTGTTAACATTGAGGTCAATGGGAGATGCCTTAAAATCCTGTTTTCCTACACTTTGCGCCAAATGCTTCTCCTTCCGCATAATTTCAGCCAGACACTTCATTCTAACTTTCAAATGATCACAAGACTTTCAGCTATTCAATTCCTATTCAGATTTTTGATATCTTTAAACCTTTTGAGATATTGAACTTAGTTTGGAGCTTAGCAGAGAGGCCTTTTTCAGATCTTAACATTGGAGTGGATGGAGCAGCTCGTTAACTTCTAGAGTGCTTTGATCTCAAAACAGAGTGCACGAAATTCTCCCCCAAAAATGTTTTAAACTTGCCATACTTCCCAAACCCTACACTCCTCAGACATATTTCTTCATGAAAAACGTAGGAAAACCTCTCCTAGGTTGGAAAATAAAAATAAAATAAGAACAAATATTAAAGAAAATGCCTCTTGAGGGCATTAAGTGACAACAACGTTCAACATGCCTCCATTGAAGCCCATTGTAATTTCAGGCAGATATTTCCTCACGGTAGCAGCCGCACACCTTTAGTTAAACTGCCAAAAAGGCCACATTATTAACCCAAAACTACACAAATTACACTTCAGATACTCAACTTCCTTGACATGCTTCACGTTTTGAAATTTCACAGATATCTGTTACGGTTCTTCCACAAAAGGTTCACACACACACACACACACACACACACACACACACACACACACACACACACACACACACACACACACACACACACACACACACATCTTCTGGACAGTCTTGAGATTTCTTCAAATGCCGTTGCCATGGCAACACAATGCTCGCCTTGAAACACGGTTTTCTCATAGCTTCAGTGAAAATACTCCAAACAGCCCAGAACTTCACAGGTTTGATAACGATGGCAGCCATCAATGCATCTAAGCGTAGTATGGGTGTCATCCAATGTCGTTGCCATGGCGACAGACCACTCGCCATGAAACACGATGAGGCTGTAAGTCCAATCGACACTGTCCAATCGTCCCCCAATCTTCACTTGTATATCACCGGTCCATGCCTCAACAGCTCTACGCCAAATCTGAGATCGCACCATATGCCGTTTCCATGGAAACGCATCCCTCGCCATAAAACTTGATGTCGCTATAAGTCCAATCGACACTGTTCAATCGTCCCCCAATCTTCACTTGTATATCACCGGTCCATGCCTCAACAGCTCTACGCCAAATCTGAGATCTCACCATATCCAAACCCATCCCTCGCCATAAAATATGATGTCACTATAACTCCTATGCAAATGTTCAAAGAGTGCTCAAACTTCACATGTGTGCTTAACAGTCCAGCCGTGAAGACATCTACGTGACAGTTTTGAGATTTCTTCAAATGCCGTTGCCATGGCAACACAATGCTCACCATGAAACACGGTTTTCTCATAACTTCAGTGAAAATACTCGAAATGGCCCAAAACTTCACAGGTTTGGTAACAATGCAGCCATCAACACATCTAAGAGTATTATGGGATGTCATCAAATGCCGTTGCCATGGCGACAGATCATTCACCATCAAGTTAGTTCAAAAGTTTCCCAAGCCTTTTTACTTTCTTTTCTCATCTTAATACAAATGCCTTCACTACTACTTATATCTGATATTTAACTCCTTCAGCCTATTTTCAGCTGCAGAACCCATTCAACTATTACATTATTCAGGACATCAAGGCTATAAATGTTGTTGTTTATACCTTTTTTAAACCTTTTCTTTGAAATATTAAGCTTTTTCTGTATTTGTTTAGCTAAAAGCAGCTACCATTCAGCTAATAACACATTCAGCTTTTTCTGCATTTTCAGCTAAATTCAGCCATAAATGTTCACAGTTTACAGCATTCGCACACATTTTCTGCAGGAAATGCATTTTGTAGTTCGTCTGTACATTGCTGTTTTAGTCTGTGTTCTTCTAATGAGTGTCTACAGTGTGTGCCTATTGAGCTGTTTAGAGCCATGTGGGACAAAACCCGATCCTGC